TTAAGTGTGTTGAAGAGGCCGGATTGCAAGATGGGGGCGTCGAGAAAGTGTACTTTGTCTGTGTCCTACATCTCCACAAGGTTCAGCCAGAGATGACACTCCTGGACCAACAAGGTGGACATCGTCTTGCTGAAGGCCCGTGCCGAGACCTTGGTCACCCAGAGGATGAAGTAGGTTGCTGTGCGCAGTTCCTGCATCAGCTCCAGCTCAGAACTACCCCTGTTATTTTTTCAGTGCTCTGGCCTGATGAATCTGCAGGATAGCCATCACATGCAGGGTGGAGGCGGCCTGTCCAGCAGCAACTGTAAGCTTTAGCAGTCACCACATTTGCACCCTCTGCCTGGGGAATCTCAGAGTAACCCTTGGCACCCCTGTTGTTGAAGATAGTGTCGAGCAGTGAAAGGCATCCAGAAAGGCACAGACAAAGAGACATCTTCATTTGTGTTGCTCTTTTAAAAATCTGAATGAGTGGAGCATGCCACTCGCCAACTCTCTTTGGCCATTTTTGTATTACTCAGAGGTGACTGGGGCTCCCAAGTGAGACCCTAATGCCATTCAGCGTAACGTTGAATGTGACAGACAGAAAGGGAACATAAATATAATATGTTGTCATTTTTTATTTTATTTATTTATACAGAGGCTCTCGTGTTGCATACAGTGGCATTTTTGCCCCAATATTGTGAATTTTAGGACTCTTTTTTTAATTTGAAGGTTTGTCATAATAGCAGCACTATGAAACTGAATGATTTCAAACAATGTGCCAATAGGCTTAAACTAAAAGTGAACATTTCTTAAATGTACATCTAATTAATGGAAATCCCTCATTAACAAACAGGTACAAAAATATCTCACCCCGTTGTAACGACCACCCATTGATCCAAAGATGGAATCCAATGGCATGGTCAAAGGTACACTGTGTGTAGGTCTGTTACTTCTTTTACTACTTAAGTTCACTTAATTTGCTTGTTTCAATTTGATTCTAGTGCCAAGTTTAATCTGACTAAAAGACTAAAACCTGAGACACAATGCATGATTTTCAGCTGTCCCAGACCAAAGATTGGCATTGTGAATCAATCGTGGCAATTTCTGTGATCGTGGCTCCCAAATGTCGGTCCTATATCGTACAGTGAGAGAGGTTTAAAGACAGCCGATGTCACGGTCTTGCAACCAGAGATAGCCTACGATAATTTTCGGACAGTGTCAGAAATTCACTTTCTTCGGTATGATGAAGTAAGGACTGTAGAATCCCTGCTGCATCTTAGCTGGAGGGACAGGCTCTAATGCATCCTTTGCCAACAGGACAGCAATCTCCGCCCACAGGACAGGGGTGTTATTGCCTGGCAGTGGTATCTCACCAGGGCAAGATGTGCTTGATGGCCTCCGTCTACTTCAACTCCTTAAGTGTCCTTAAGTGTGTTGAAGAGGCCGGATTGCAAGATGGGGGCGTCGAGAAAGTGTACTTTGTCTGTGTCCTACATCTCCACAAGGTTCAGCCAGAGATGACACTCCTGGACCAACAAGGTGGACATCGTCTTGCTGAAGGCCCGTGCCGAGACCTTGGTCACCCAGAGGATGAAGTAGGTTGCTGTGCGCAGTTCCTGCATCAGCTCCAGCTCAGAACTACCCCTGTTATTTTTTCAGTGCTCTGGCCTGATGAATCTGCAGGATAGCCATCACATGCAGGGTGGAGGCGGCCTGTCCAGCAGCAACTGTAAGCTTTAGCAGTCACCACATTTGCACCCTCTGCCTGGGGAATCTCAGAGTAACCCTTGGCACCCCTGTTGTTGAAGATAGTGTCGAGCAGTGAAAGGCATCCAGAAAGGCACAGACAAAGAGACATCTTCATTTGTGTTGCTCTTTTAAAAATCTGAATGAGTGGAGCATGCCACTCGCCAACTCTCTTTGGCCATTTTTGTATTACTCAGAGGTGACTGGGGCTCCCAAGTGAGACCCTAATGCCATTCAGCGTAACGTTGAATGTGACAGACAGAAAGGGAACATAAATATAATATGTTGTCATTTTTTATTTTATTTATTTATACAGAGGCTCTCGTGTTGCATACAGTGGCATTTTTGCCCCAATATTGTGAATTTTAGGACTCTTTTTTTAATTTGAAGGTTTGTCATAATAGCAGCACTATGAAACTGAATGATTTCAAACAATGTGCCAATAGGCTTAAACTAAAAGTGAACATTTCTTAAATGTACATCTAATTAATGGAAATCCCTCATTAACAAACAGGTACAAAAATATCTCACCCCGTTGTAACGACCACCCATTGATCCAAAGATGGAATCCAATGGCATGGTCAAAGGTACACTGTGTGTAGGTCTGTTACTTCTTTTACTACTTAAGTTCACTTAATTTGCTTGTTTCAATTTGATTCTAGTGCCAAGTTTAATCTGACTAAAAGACTAAAACCTGAGACACAATGCATGATTTTCAGCTGTCCCAGACCAAAGATTGGCATTGTGAATCAATCGTGGCAATTTCTGTGATCGTGGCTCCCAAATGTCGGTCCTATATCGTACAGTGAGAGAGGTTTAAAGACAGCCGATGTCACGGTCTTGCAACCAGAGATAGCCTACGATAATTTTCGGACAGTGTCAGAAATTCAGCATGATCATCGCAGTGTGTTTGCTGCTACGACCCACGTTTACTGACCAGCCAATAACAATGTGACATGAAATAAACGTGTCATGGTGCTAAAACATAAAACTGCTTACCTCAAGCTCTCATCCCTTCCTCTTTCACCACTTCCACTTTTTTTCAGCACACATAAAAACTACAGCTGTCAAAGTGTGATTCATCATGCTCTTTACCACTAGCGCATGCTAACGATGTTTTATTCTTCTATAGTAACGTGCGTTGTAGCCTACGAGTCAATAGGTGTCCATCATACAGTCTGCATACGTCGTACCCAAGTTTATCAGATCCATGTCGCACAGTGTGATTTACAATGATCTTATAGGATTGCTAAAATCGTGCAGTGTGTCCCAGGCTTAAGATATTTATCAGTTTAGTTCTGTTTCTAATTTGGATATTTAAATATTCTAGTATTCCCTTACTCTTCAATTATTCGTTCATTAGGGAGCCGATGTCGCACAGTCTCACGCCAGCCGGTCAGGAATCTCACACTCATAAACTCGCCAGTCTGATCATAGTCAGAGGTTGCAGGGCTAACCAGTACCTTTTGTTTGTTTGGCCACCTCATGCTTCCTCATAACAAAAGTTCAGTTTACCTAGTCACGCTCATACAACTTGCTAAGTCAGCGATAGACCGAAATCAGGAGGTTTGACCTATCCTGGACACAGATTTGCAGTAACCTCAGACTCCACTAATGTATATAATTAAACAACGAGAAGCCAATTCAGAAATGATAAATACATAACAGCAATTGCTCAAAGATAAATCTGGGAGTGAAAGATGCACACCTGACAGCAGAGAGACCCACAGCAGCATGTGAGAGTTCTGAATGCAGAAAACCAGAGACTCACACAACAGTGTGCTGGCTTTTCTGCTTACAGATTCTCAATGACTATTTTGCCAGTTTCCCTTAAATACTCAGACCAGAACAACAAAATCTTCAAATCTAAGTTGTAAAACATTTGGTAAAATTTTGGTCGGACAGGATCCTGTGACCCAGTGGAGGAAGAAAGTTGTTCTTTCCAGAGACCCTGAGGGAGACAATTTTGAACTTTTATTATACTATACATAACTGCTGTGAAGCTGAGACCATTTTACCAATTGCACTGAGATGTTTGAAACGATACTAAATATGAAAGGGAAAAACAAGACACACTATATTTGGTAAATAAGCAGTCTCAGTGTACTTTTGCCGTTCTGAGTGGACTTGGAGTGACCTGAAGCTGATGGAGAAGGAAAGGGAAAGGGGAGAGGAAGGCTTAGGATGGGAGAGCAGACTTCTGTGCCCTTGCTTCATGATCTCTTCTCCAGTTTTGTAGATTTATTGTTTTATTGCATGGTGTTCAGTTCCTGAGTCCAGTTTCGTTAGAAAATCAAGCCAGATATATATATTTTACCACACAGAGGTAAGCAAAATAATCTTATTTCAAACCGAAAAACAAGATTATTTTGCTTACCCCATTGGCAGATTATTTAGCTTGTTTTAAGGAAAAACTCACTTAATTTTGACTTATTTTTTCTGAAAACAAGACAGTAATGTTGACTTGTCTAGAAAATGCTTCTTGATTTAATTTAATGTTTAGATATTTGGACTAGAAACAAGACAAAAACTCTAAGTAAGAAAAGCATTTTTTGCAATGTATCGTTATCCTAATCAAATGCAACTGCAATCATCTCAACTGTATTATATGAATTGTATGTATATAGAAATGGCCCTGAATATCCTTATTAAGAGAGGTAAAATAAATCTGTTTGTAGTCTGCTGTAGACTTGATTACTAATAAAGAAGGCTGTTTGTGATGAAGACCCCCCCAAAACATGTAATGAGTTCATGGCTGTCTTTTCTCGGCTCTCTGACAAGGACATGTTCATCTCACTTCACCTTCCTCAACCTCACTTACTAAAGACTGATTATGAAAACACTGTAGACATTAAAAATGACAAACAGAAACTGTACAGTGATTCCTCAAAAGATTTTCGCGTAGCCATTCTTTACTATAAAAAGTTTATGACTACTAAGTTTGATCATCGATCATCTATTTTGAAAAAGGAAACAACAACAACAACAAAACCCAACACACACTAAATACAATTATCATTCATGTGGATGAGAAGGATGTCTACTCAAGCTTGAAAAAAAAAAGGACACATTTTGTGCAAATTACTTCTAAAACCTTAATACTGCCATTATAGTAAAATAAACAATCAAAGATTCAGAATAATCACATGCTGAAATTTAATTCTGGATCAGATTTCTCATAGAAACCAGCAGGTGGAGCACTGGCTCCTTTTGAGAGCTGCTGGAATTAGAGGCTAAACTCAGTAAGTCCACATCCATACGGGTTTGGCGGTCTGAGGAAGCTGGATCTGGTCAGGACACTGGACTCCACATGAGCCTCTCCTGACGCAGAGAGATCAGTCTGTTCAGCCACACGCTCTCTGCCTCCTCTTTATCCACGAAGAGCTGCAGGAGAGGGAGAGAGCCAGTTAACTTCAATTCATTTAGACTGTTAAATTACAATGAACTTCCAAAGAACTTTACTTCTGTGTCCATCATAGAGCATCACTACAGGAACAGCCGAAACCTCACTGTGCCAAACTCTGAATCACCTGCAGAGAGGTGAGAGAATGAAAACGCTTTCTTTTTTTTCTCAGAGTTTCTTTTGTCAGAGGAATGAAAATTTTGTTTTAATATATTGTAGTTTTTTTTTTAACAATTTCAATTAGGAAAAATATCCACTATTAACTATATTTATTAGCATTCACATTACTAATATATTGACTGTTTATTGGTGCTTATAAAACACACACTAATGCCTTATTCTGCATGACTAGATTCTATATATACACACCACTGTGCAGAAGTCTTAGGCCACTAGTATTTTCACCAACAAAAAAATTGTTTTAAGTCCATTATTTCTATCTTTTGCTGTAGTGTGTCAGTAGGAAATATCAGTTTATATTTCCAAACATTCATTTTGCCATTAATTGTAATCCAGTGATATTTTTGTTTACACAAGGAGTCAAAAAACAAAAACAACAACAATTGACAACCAATTCACATCAATATAACAAATATTATGTACAATTTTTCAGTAACAATTTAGTTTAAGGATCAGTTGTCACCATTAACTAGTTGCTTATTAGCATGCATATTGGCTGTTTAATAGTGTTAATAAAGCACATATTAATTTCTTATTCTGCATGACCATATTTTAGATTCCTTAATCCACCCATACCTAAAGTTAACAACTACCTTACTAACTATTAATAAACAGCAAATTAGGATTAAAATCGAGGCAAAAGTCAAGAGTTAATAATGAGAATTGGTCCCCAAACTAAAGTGTGACTGATTAGATTATTAGAAGATTAAAAGATTACTACTGGTGAGACTATATTATAAAACAAATGGATGTTCCCTCAATAAAATCCTAATTTGCTGCTTATTGATATTAATTGTGGTAGTTGTTCTAGTAGTTAGTGATCTAAACTATGGTCAGGCAGAATAAGGCATTAATACTTGCTTTATAGGTACTGATAAACAGTCATTATGCTAGTAAAACGCTTGCTAATAAGCAACTAGTTAATAGTGAATGTGTTCCTTAAGATAAAGTGTTCCTGTTTTTTATTCCCTAATATTCCTTCACGGGTGCACAATGGATGATTTTGATGTGAATACAGGAAATACATGTCTGTTAGTTTTGGTCACTCACACACACTCACACTCACACTCACACTCTCACTC